CGAACGTATTTACGAAATCTTCTTAAACGATTACAATATATACTTCACAGGTACCTACATAATATATAATTATAATCAAAATAATTTTAATGACAATATAATATGTCACTGAGTGGGCGGACGGTGCGAGACACTATGTCAACACGATTATGCGAACCCATTCAACACTCCTCTTGTTTATTTTAAAGCAAACATATTTTACGTATTCCAAATACGTAATAAATATTTCGTATTATACGAAACGTATTCGATTGTGCCTTACTTAGTCGTCGTCATCGTGTAATCCTCTTAGTAAAACATCGCCATATTATCCTGATTTTGCGTCAAAACCAGTGGCGTGTAACTATAGGGTCCAAGCGTTACTCAAGCAACACGTCCTTAAACATGGGTGGGTGGGTATTGATGGAAGAAAAATAGGAAATTTTATAGTTCGGTATAACAGTATTATGAGGAGAAGGTCGCCTAAAATTATTTGAGCAATACCAATTTTTTTTCATTTTACACTCCGCTGGTCGAAACCATACGTCGTGTACGTCATTTTATGCATTGCAGAGTTAGGGCGAAACGAAGTTAGGACACTGTAAAATAATTTTTCGCCTTCGCCCACCCAATTCGTAATACGATTCGAAGAATGCAATAAATTGCACTCACCTTGTCGTTATGTACAGTTTATATGAATGAAAAAATAAAGACTCGCATAAAAGAATCAAATATTCGATTATAGATATTGGCAATCTTCTCAGGTATCTCGGGTTCATCTTTATATACTTGATTATAACCGGAAACCATTTACGATAATATTTAGTATTTTATGGTTACATTTTAGCTCTTTTAGGTACTTATCACGACGGTTACCAAGCAAAAAACACTATGTACCTACATTTAATAAAATCTTCTTTGATTACCAGTTCCTATATACCATGATTTGATGCTGACGTAAAAATCATCACAACCGTCTTTTAAGCAGGATCAATATAAACTATGGTCAATATTTATCATTGACCATTGACCCCATTTATTTTTTTAACACCGTTTTTTATGCAAAAATTGGTTGTTATTTGAATTTATAATGTTTGTATAGTATATATTTTGTTTTATAAAATAATTTAATTTTACTCTTTTATAATTTTAGCTCTGATTAATGTGTTTATTTAAATTTTCTTTATTTAACCAGTTTCATTTCATATTATGAATAAAATAAATTTATTTTGGTAGCCGGTACGTCGTTCACATTATAGTTTTATTTTATTTATGTATAGAAACATAAAACACCATATATTATATAGATATTATATTTTGTAGCTACACCGTTACCGTTATGAACGAATAAGATTAAAATATTCACTTTTTATTTTAAAAAATTATGTTCTTTTTTATTCAGTTCCATCATTCATTAAATTATACTAATAAAATATACTTTCTAGTAGTTAAATAAAATATATTTAATTAAGAAAGATAGCAAGAAATATGTCAAAACTTCATTCTTTACATATTGACTTATAATGAGATAAACATTACTAAGTAGTTTTACTTGTTTACTATCAAATATAATATATACAAAACGCACATACCTATTATTTAACCCGTAAGAATATATATATTTATCGCATTTGAAAATCATTTTTACTTGTTGATATTTAAAGATAGAACTTTTGTGTTTTTAGTTTAGTATAGTTTGGTTAAAATTAATTAGAAATGGTGAAATTAAATTTATTAAAATTGTTGCCCATAGTTTAACTTGCGAAATGACCTATATTGCATTATACGTATTTCTTGTACTATAAAAAATATTTATTTTTTAATATATATTATTGTAACTGGTTTCCATTGTTTGTAAGTACCTACCTACCTGCCTGGTGAAACATCATGTGAAATATATTGCGTACGTCTTATAAGTCTGTTATAAACTTATAATATACTCTTTAATTAAATATGATTTGGTTTTCATTTAATAATTATAATTACGAACACATCATCTCGTACATTTAAATAATAGTGTTACCTTTTGTAAAATGATTAAGCTATTATATTATGTCTTAGTGCAAACATTTTGTTCAAAAAATACCGTGTGAATATTGTGGACTCGGAGTTTGCCTCGTGCGTCTTATTCGCAAGGCCTTTATTATAATATTATTACCTAGGTATAATTTGAGTGATTTAATAGATGGCATGCGTTATCCAGCGACGGAGAAGTCGTGTATAAGATAAATTGAGAAATGTAAGTGAGAAATTAATGTATATAGAAACTTTTAATGAAATAATAACAACAACTGATAGTAGCGCTGGTCGTATATTCTCTCATAATATATAATATGTATTTTATGGCTCGAGTCACGGATGCCCTTAAACTCTGTATACACTACGTCATGATAATAAAAACAGACACGAGTCTATAATAATTGAAAAATAAAAAGAAGACGTCTCGTTGAAAATCGATAGTAATAATTATGAGATTACATTGTCCTAAGGTCGTTTTAATGGACGCGATGACGCGATAACGAGCTAGAGAATAATAATATGCTACCGGCGTCCGACCCCTCCGGACATGTTAGAATAATGTTTTTGTTTTTGTTTGGCGCTCTGACTTCCAAACTCAATCGAGTACCCAAAAGTCGAGACTTCGTAATTTATTGCCCCGCATTTTGTTTTTTGCCATTTTCACCTCGTTCGTGGCAATATAATATTCTACTTTCTTCGAGTTATTTTCAAAAAAAAAAAAAAAACACCGTAAACACTCGAGCTGAGTACAACGCCTAGCGCGGTGTGGCATACTTACATAGTTATGCGGTCGGTTCCTCGGGCCATTCGCGGTGATCGAGATCAAAATGATATATAATATATTATCACGGGAAAATGGAAACAAGCAATAGTAACAATATCGCATAAAATGTTTGCGTACGTTTATGCATATATAACGTTATTATAGACGTATGTTCGTATTATTATTATTATATTATACCCGCTGTTTGCATTTGCCTACACTTTTTCCTCTCGAATCCCCTTGTATTGCGACCCGCAGCTCCAACATATAATATCGCAACGTTATTCTCGCTGCAAGTTTCTACTCTCGTTCGTCTCGCTTTCGTTTTCATTCCTATACTGCAACATACCTATATAATAAAGACATTGTCTCCTAGGACGTTTGACTGCAGTTGTAGGTACCTACCTATGAGTGCTAGCAATTGAATACTACTTACTGTAGTCGACGTCTTCGTAGGTTTTTTTGGAAAATTTTTAGTTTACCCAAATCCATAGCTATTATATGAGTGTGTATCCGAGCAGATAGCTAGTATAAATTCTACTTGCCGGTCCCCATCGGTTTGCATTGTGTATTATGTTATAAAAATAACAAACTACAACAAACTATGACTGTTCACCGAGGTGGATATGATGCAATAGCAAACGTTCTTTAATAAAACCATAACCTAACCGGATTTCATCTCGGATGAATCGAATCTGTAGCTGAAATCACAACAGTATAAACGAGGTGATCCGTAGTTTATTTGTAATAAGCAGACAGAGGGTGCGAGATCTGTTGTATACGATAGGGTGGAGAAAGTTGTCCGAAGAATTCGTAGGACAATTGACAATGGTTTTGATCAAAGACGTCTTATGTGCAGCGAGTTATGAAAGACAGGTTATAATAATATAATGTATTATATTTTCAATTTATATAAATTATATAATGTATAAACATTTTTTTTTTTTTTATTATTTCTATAATTTTTTGACATTTATTTGAAATATTATATCATAATCTGTAAATCTAAGTACAATATAATCGTACTTGAGTAGGTAATTTATGTGAGCTCGAAGTCAATAGGAATAAATGTTGGGTAAACAGTAATACTTTTGACTTGATTTTTATTGTATGATAACTCTATACGACATTTTCTCTTTAGCCTTCCTGGGGGTTTTCCTGGGATATTGCAGTCCGAGTAAGGGCAAAGATCAATGGGTTTGAATAATATGATTTGCAAGGCATTAGAGAAAGAGTTTGTACAGGTAGATGTAGCTACTTATGAGAATGTTTGAACTTTTTTAAGTTCCCGAGTGAATGGTACGATTTGAAACATAAAATGGCTCACATGATGTGACAACGAACTGTTTTATTATATAAAATATATGAATAAATTTGCCATACAAAAATGTAAAAACCTTTTCATGCCAAAGTTGCAAATGATGATATGATAAAAATGTCTTCAGTTATTCCAACTAAGGTTACTTCCGGTTATGCACAGTTTAAGTTAAATTATGGTAACCAAAGACAATCATAACAGTTAGTCACTTTGACCCATCTCTAATATTTAATCAAATACTAACTTAAATTTTATAATTTTCCATTAATTTCGTTCCTATACCAACAGTTCTCAATTGTTTAGACTAAATACATTTCTCGCTAAAGGCACTACGGCTCCATATTAATTCTTATACCCAGTGGTGTATTGCTAAAAATATTCTTGGGTATACGCCTTCTAGATCTTAGGTATCAATGACATAACTATAACATTAAATAAAAAAAAAAATTTTCTTGCTTCACTCGAATACGATAATGACCAAATTATCTAATTATCAGATTACAATTAATATACAAGTATCTTTCAACTAGGTACTAACTGAATGAAAAACAAAATTAAATTAAATCACGAAATGACTTTTTATTTTAAATATATTGCTTTTAAAACCAAAATAGTCAAAATATGCACTAAATAGGTTAAGTAGGTATTTCATCCCGAATTTTGTGAATTGTATTTTTTTTCTCCCATGTCACAAAATTAACCATAAAAACTACAAAGTATGTAAATGCATGCAATTCCTTCCCCTACACATAACATTTCAGAGTATCTAATCTTATTATCAATTAGTAAAATACTACAATATAAAACATTTAACTAAAACCAAACAATTACAAATTGATAAAAGTTTTCTTTATTAATAACAAATTAATTCATATAAATATAATAATAATACATAGGTATTTTAATAATTATTATTATAATCTATAATATTTTCCAAATGCTTTTTTTTTCCTCTCTTGTTTCTGGTTCCTTATTGACGTTTTTTTTTGTTCTGGTATTTTCAGCAGTCTTATGATTTACCAACCAACTACTGACATAACTTTTTGGTTCCCATTCATCTAGTGGAGGACCATTTACATTTATAAACATAAGACTGGCTAAATGTTTAATAGTTAACGTAGAACGTAACTTAGTGCATATATTGTTCATTAGACTGAACCCCCGTTCGCACTCTGCTGTTGAACGAGGAAATGTTTGTACCAAGTTATAAAATTCAGGCATAACATTTTTAAATGAAACTGTTTGATCATCTAATATTTGTCTGAAACCATTGATAGCATCATTCTTATTGACTTGAAAACGTTTACATAATCGTTTGATTTCATCTTCACCATAACGTATATTATTATAATTTATGTCTTTTGGCCACTCACTTACATCTATAATTTGCATATCTTGGAGTATTGATATATCTTGTTCATTATCCAAGAGCCTAGCTTTTAAGTTATCAACAAGACTGGTTAAAAATTGATTTTGATTGATATTTATTAGTTTAGAGTTTTTTTCTAATGTAATATTTTTAAAATTCATGTTATTTGTAGCATTTGTCGCTTTGGTCAAATATTCACCCTTTAAGTCTTTTAATAAAGTCAAAACTCTTATACTTCTATTTATATGTTGATGAGCTTGAATTAAAGTTAAAGAACGCTTCTGGAGTATGTTTGAAAAACAATAATAATTAATAATTATGCACTATCACAATTCACAGCTCACAGGTTTATCACTTTAACCAACGAAAAACTTAATACAATTAGTACATACAGTATAATGGTTACTAACCGCCAGAAATCTTACTGGTTATTGATTAGTGTCTAGTGATTGCTGATTAATTAATGATTATAAACGATAGTTTTTCTAAATTATTTCATACACACACTCATATTATACAATATTCTACATGTACCCATAATTGTACATAATATTATACATTTACAAGCATTACAAGTTAAAAATAGTATCAGGGGTACGTAGCATGGCATAGCGTACCCGGCTACGCGGCAATAACGTTTTCCGAATAAGGATACCGGCCGGTCTAATCTTTTGCGATAGTATCTCAAAATGTTTTTTGATAATCAGCTAATAATATTATAATATCATAGAACAATAATACTAAAATATATTAAAATAATATACTTTATCTGAGAAATGAAAATTACAAATATACAGAACATTTTGTTTTTATCACCGAAAATTCTAATAGGTATACGGGGGCATACGTCCGTATACCCGCGTATCGCCGTTTATTTAGAGAGTATACGCTAAAAAAAAACTAGAGAAGTGAGTATACGCCGTATACCCCCGTATACCCCCCAATACACCACTGCTTATACCTATCACCATAAGTGATATTAGTGGATTGCTATCGGGGGGGGGGGGCTTAGCACCCCAAAAACTTTTAATAGACCACCCAAAAAAAATTCATTATATATTATATTAAAATATTAATAAATCTTTTAAAATTCAATTTAAATTTTATAATTATTTTATTTGGCCTATGGTCAATATTATCATTAGCTGTATACCTGTATTTTCTTTTAAGAAAACGATTTTTCTCAGTAAATTGGTTAGATTATTAAACATCATTGTACAGTATAATATGCATAATAATAATAGTAGGTATATAATATATAATAGTATAATATTTTATACAATTTGTTCATATGTTAAGTGAATATATATGGGACTATGGGAGTGCGGGGGAAACCCCATCATGGGTTATTTTTGTGTAATATTAGGTGGCGGATACAAGCCCCGACATTTTAATTTTTAGCACCAGTTGCGCCACAGCATAACACATATTCATTCACATTCAAAACTTGTTTATATTATAAATAAAATATTGGGTTCTTATAATATTTAATAGTCATTTAATTCAATCAATCATTTATAATTTTACTATCCAGTTGTAACCATAAGGTATCTATAAAATATATATTTTACTGTTACCGTACTTGTACATGTAATATTGTAAATTACAATCGTCAAGCCATTATTATTTGTCGAAATAAATAGCATACCCGCTGAGTGCTGATATTTCAATCATAAATAATATATTATGTTTATATCTAAATATGTATTTTTTCATATTTTATTTTGGCTTTTTCAATCATAGTTACTTCAAATTTCTTTTAAAACTGTCGTATAATATGCTTAGCAGTCGAAAAACGTATCATTCAATATATTATTATCTTATTCCTAATAAAAAAAAAACATGCCACCACGGCTTCTGTTTTCGACTATTCCATTCTTCAGTCAAAACCTTCTTATGCCTACGTTGTTTCTGACTCCAAAATGACCAAAATACTTAATAATTTTATAAACGATACATTGTTATCGTTCTGATCTAACTTCACCCCCTCCAATCACTTCTTTCAGCAGTATTACTTGTAATACTAATTTATGCCATTGTGTATTATTGTATTTTATTTGTCTGTTCTTTAATTATTGTTATTATTATTTTGTATTTACAAATACGCCTAAAATACCAGGGTTATTGGCTTTTCTGAAAAAAAAAAACATTAAATTTTATAATTTATAAAGTACATTACAATCAAAGTTATATACAAAATATTTTAAATATGATACATTAATGGTTATTGAATTTACAAGTGATAAAATCTATGTATTTATGTTATACTTTATGAATCAGGTTCCTCTCTTTGAGGAGTTGCAGAAGAATCGATGTCGTCTCTGGGTGCTAGTAGGGGAGATTGTAGAGGAGCATAAGTTTATCTCTGGAGTCTTTTGTCAGGAGGCATTCGGTTAACAGGTGTTTAACTGTACCCAGTTGTGGTGTAATCTTTAGTTATTATTATATATTATATAGTTATTATTAGAACGTCTTTAGATGATTATATGTCATTATTTATTACTGCGATTTAAAAAGTTATACTAGCTAACCATCGCGGCTTCTGGCAAGGGGATGTATGAAGTGACTACCAAAAAATAATGTTTAGCGCTCCAAACGGCATTATTATAGTTTATGATATAAACTGTTAATCCACGATTATAGATGATATGTATAAAATAGTATTTTATTAGTTCTACATTTTTTACAGATAGGTATTTTTTATTGTCATTTCATAAATCAATTTGAAATAATTTTATTATGGGGCGATGGATAACCAGTACAATATCTTAAATCGTGTTTATTACTGTACTTATACCAGTTCGGCATAGGTCTTTGGTTTTATATTTTTTATTATTTTATCATTACAGTTTTATAGTTTCGCTTATATTTTGAAATATTTTTAATTATCTGTATTTGTTATCAATTGTAATTTGAAATATTACTAAGTTAAAGGCTTATAAAAATAGTAAATAAATAAAAATATGCTTAATTCATGTCTATGTTATTTTTGACTTGTAGTAAACAATAATTATATAATACACTGCGCAAATTAATATCACATTTTCATTTTATAAAGCAACTAGAAAATTTTCTTATTTCTTATGTAGTTTTAATATTTTAAATGTATACTTTTTATGCACAGATTGTTTGCCTGTTCACTTTTTTCAAAAATAAGTAATAGGCAAATTATGTTTTTTATGTTTATCATTTATCTTCTATCGTTGAAACATTTAATTTTTATTGTGTACGTGATTACACATCATAATCAATTATTTTTCATAACCTTGATAGTTAATATTTCATTTACAATATTCATTGATAATTTCTTAATTTATGTGTTGTATATTAATGATAATAATTTGTATATAGGTATGATATTATATTATATCATATATTAAAAAAACAAGTTCAGTCCCATGGTTATTGAAATTAACATTAATTTTCACAATTGGCCTATATTTCAAAATTATTATTCTCATAAATAATGTATATTAAGGTCATTTATGATTTGTATAAGATTTAAGTATCGTACAATTACATGTAAGCCAAAAATTAAAAAGACATTAACAAAATTATGTAAAAAGCTAATGGCCTATGTCGCCGAAGCTATACAAAGATCAATAAAAAAAAAAAATTACATGTAAAAACTTTTTTCTGTTTATACATTAATACAAAAATGAGTAAATTACTTTAATTTTGAAACACGTACCTACTTTATATAATAATAAGTACCTATATTAAATTAAAATTATAAAATAAAAATAAAATTCTCAAAATATCAAGTTTTTGTTTATTTTGTTTAATAATAATAATTACCGTATTAAATCTGCTAAATAACTCAAGATGGGCGTACATACAATTTTCTCTTAAAGATATTAAGGTTAACATGTTTTGGCAATTTTATTTAATGTAAAGGATTAAAATAACTGGACAAACATTTAATTGCACAAATATATATATATATAGGTATATTGATAAGTGTTTTTACTTAACAAATATATGAATTTTTTTTAGTATTATGTACATTACTTAGTGATTGGTTGAATTGGTATACATTTTGTATAGACTGTCTTATTGCTGAGACATCGAGATTATGTAGCAATAATATTTAATACCTACGATGACACAATTTTCAAATTTATTTAAGTACATATTCTACAAACAGTTCAACCATAATTTTATCATCTGATGTATTCAATACGTTTTATAAAATTAAAATTACTATTGCCGTATAATATGATGGGTAGGTACTTAATAAAAACATTATATATATTATTTACTCTTTACTATGTTGATGACAATTAATCTGGACTACAACAGGTATTATTAACATCTGGAAATGATTTTTTTCCAGTCAATTCATGTTCAAAGTATGATTATAAATATATGATTAAATATATTGGGTTTACGATTTAAATAAAATATCCTTGTTTATTTCACACATTGTTATAATGCGTTTTAATAATCAAACACGTATATATGTGTATGGAAATTGTATGTATCTTTACATTATTATACAGACATATTACACACAACACGACTATATACATACTTTGAAAAAAAAAAGTCATCTAATTATTTATGCCCCCGTCGTACCTAAAAAAATATTTTAATATATTTATAGGATAGGTACATAGGAAACAATAGCATCATATATCATGATCATAGTATAGGTACCTACGTGATAACATAAAGTAACAAAAAAAGTATAGTAAGACGTAAGTACCTATACAGTCATTTTTATAAAATTAAAATTAAAACGTTTAATCCATTATAAAAATATATTTTTTCATGCCATAATAATAGATATAAATTAACAATAATGAATGTATCGAGGTAAAAGTTAAAAAAAATGGTTCAGATGATAGTTGAACGAAAGTCGGCTATCGTTATTCTCATGAAATAAAAATACTATGTAAACTGAATAATATATGGTCGGTAGTAATTTCTTGGGAGAAAACTATAGAGTATCACAATACACACGTAACCGCACTCGTTAAGGAATATTTATGATGTACGGTGGCACGGTTCATAGAGGTTAAATACTTAAATGAACATATTATTTAATATAATATATTTTCATCACTCTGTGTTTATCGATATTTTCAAAGTGAAAATAATAATACATAAATTATAATAACTCCGAAAACGCCACTGCGACGAGCTGTGGTACTGTCAT